ACGGACCTCGACACCGGAAAGAAACGACGATTCCAGAAGAGCAACCTTTAAAAGGACGACTGAAACCCCTGTTCGAAAAACCCTCGCAATGCCAACCAGTGGAGGAAAAGCCGGACCTGAGAATCCGGGGTCGGCGGCAGGGGCGGCAGCCCTTAATATGTATATGTACAATCCCACACCAATGTCCAGCAAAGCCACATCGAAAGAGTTATATAAAGAACATCGATGCGATTGCATTGGGAACTACTATTTCACACTATGTCCAAGAATGCTATTTGATATGTGGTCGATCCCCCCAAGGAACTCTATAGGTTCCAGTGTTTGGAGGTGAATGAAACAGCTGTGAGAATCAATGCGTTTATAACAAGAAGCTATTAGGAACAAGTGCCACGCTACTAGGAACAAGTGCCTTACTACTAGGAACAAGAAGCTATTAGTAACAAGAAGCTACTAGTAACAAGTGCCACGCTACTAGGAACAGGTGCCTTACTAGTAGTAACAAGAAGCTATTAGAATCAATGCGTTTATATTGGGAAACACTTTTTGCCGCAAAAGGACGATGCCGCGGCGTATCGGTGTGAAAAACCACGGCCGCAGACCATGACTTGCGGTGTTTCTCTCGTGCGTTCTGATGGCGGTGTTTCTCTGCGGCTTTTTGACCTCTGCGAACTAAGATGTGGCCCTAAGGCCACCCTGCGAGTGAAACAAGGATAAGAACCCTTAACCTCCCTTTGGGAGCCTAGAATGACAGGAGCTATGCACTTTGATGCATCTCATTTCCTTGGTCTTTGGACATTATTTTCTTAATTCAACCCTGACAGCTGCATTCTCTTCAATGTTCTATATGCTAAGAGCATCGAATATAGGAGCGGAACAATAAAAGCTGGTGTTTGAGGTTGAATTGCAAAGTTTGGACTGCGCATACTTGACACACAAGTCTTGAGCGGCAGGCCCGAGGCCAGCAAGGAGCATGGGTTTTCTCGGTTTCATTGCCTGGCTTCTTCACGCGGTCGTGCGGCCCTGCAAATGAAGTAAATGCACGTCACTAACATCCATGAACTCTCGTCACTTAAACCCTGATCTCGCTGGTCCCCCAGCCCAAGAACAGGCATTTGATTTCGCTTGAGTGTATTTCTTCACCCTTTTAGTGCTTTTAGTCACCTTTTGGCTGGAGGTGAGAATGCCTTGAATGCACTTTTTCTGCTGTGAACAACATCTCCGCCTCTTGGCAGATCGCGGGGTGCCTTGCGCTGACACCTCCGCAAGAATACGCTGCCAAAACGCCTCTGAAACTCTACGACGTCAAGTTGTCAGGGTATGTCAAGGTGAGTCGGAATGGTCCACTCTTGGCTGATCAGATAGATTTACGCTTCTGAAGAAAAGAACACAACCTAATGGCAATGGCCTCCAGCCAAAAAATCATCACGGCATTGCGCCCGCAAAAAGAAAAAAAATAAAAAAGAACCTTCTTGCGGCTTTCCAAGATATCTTTCAGCTGCTGACACCGATCCTGCACCAGGATTTGTAAACAAAGAAAACGCAAAAAGAATGAAAAGACTGCAAAATCAGGGAACGGACCAGCGTCCGTTCGTTCTTTCTCCTGCAACAGCACTCGACGCCAGGCATTGAAGGCTTCAGCCCGCCAATATTTGGCCTGCTGATTCAGCGCTGCGATGAACAGGCCTTTCCGGCCCTCCCGCGCTGCCACGACTTCATCCTTTCGGCCAGCCAGGCTGCGGGACAGCGCCAGCTCCCCACTCCAGGCCTGTCCAGTCAAACACTGTAGCTATTAAGTAAGCCGTTATTGAGGGATGCGCTATCTGCTTTCTTTGAAGAACCGTCGCATGATTGATTTGATCCCTGCAACTGCAATGAACCGCAGCGACCTTCATGCAGGCCAACAACGCTGCCAGTTCCTTGCCGACTGGCCAACGAAAAACAAAACAGGAAACCAAACCGCGCGCGCTTTCGTGATGAATAGTAAACAAACTCTTCTTGGCACCTATGCTATGCATTCTAGAAGGAGTGGAACAAATACGAATATGTTTGGGTCCTCACCGCGCTTGGCAGCGCACGCATGCCTTCGTGCAATGTTCTCCGCTCTTGCCTGCAGGATTTGAACATCTTACCGCTTTCCAAAACAAAAAACGACTTGGCCAACATGCAGCTACAGTAGCACTTTGAAGACAATTGCCTCTCCCCGCGCTGCAGCAGCAGCAGCAAGGCGCGCGGCGGATACCTGGTCATTGTATTTGCTGCATTTATAGTTCATCCAAAGAACAGAGTCGCTACTAGGAGCAAGGACGCTACTAGGGGCTCCTGGCCCTACTAC